AAAAGTGAGCTCTTTGTGCGCAGTGCTGTTTATGATCCCCATTCCAAGTTTGGTCAAAGTTTTCTTCTGAACCTTAAATGCAGTGTTTTCACTGCAGAGGTATATGCGGCCCTCGAATCCCTGAAGAGGATTGCACATATAGATAGTTTTAATATTTATTTTTAATTTTAACAGACAGTTTAAGTATGGTCCAAAGTTTAACCAATCTCAGATTTGATTTTAAAAAAAAACTATATTTTGTATAATATTAAAAAATTGTTATTTAGTTATGCACAAAAGGGTATACAGGTCTCTTTCATGTGGATTCCATCACATAGGGGCATAACAGGAAATGAGATAGTAGATAAAATTGCACGTGATGGAACCAACATGTTGGATGTTAGCTCCATAGTAAAAGTACCTTTGACCGACTGTTATCAATCTGTTGACAACCAGGTTCATAGTTTATGGGTCGAATTTTGGAAACAAGATCAAGAACAGAAGGGTAAATGGTATGGAACTGTTCAAGAAAAACTACCTGTAGCACCATGGTATAACACACTGAAAATGGCCAGTCGGGATTTTATTATGACTATAAACGGATTACGTTTTGGTCACTCCACCGTCCCGGCCCACCTGGCTCGGTTGGCCATAGTGGAGAGCAGCTACTGCAGCTTCTGCAATAATTCAATTGGTGATATCGAACATTTCATATTTACATGTGAGTGCTTTTCATTTGACAGATTGATTCTTGTCAGTGAAATTAGTGACATAGTGCAAAATCAAGTGACAGTGCAAGAACCCTCCCGCCGCCTGAGTGATATGTTAAAAAATAGATCCTATTACGTGCCTCTATATAAATTTATCAAAAACACAGTGGGAAATTATAATAAACCAAATAAAAATACTCAAGACTTGGCCTAAAGGTCTAGATACCAGGCCATAAACTCCAAAAAAAAAGAGTTTTAGTGTACGAATGTGTGTGTAACAACGCCATCTCTTGTATCCCATAGTAATTGGACAGAGCACACGAATCTAAAATTATAAAGTTATTTTAAAAATACCTCAGCATTTTCTCACTATGGATATATATATATATATATATATATATATATATATATATATTAGCCATATATATTATATAATGTAATTTAGGTCTAGACCGAATTTCGGCCATGGTGGCCTGTTTCGTAGTAGGCATCTGCGGAGGACAGAGTTTTAGTGTAAGAATGTGTGCGTAAGCTCATGTCACTCTGCTCTGTTCTCTCACTCTCATAGTCCGATGGGACGGCAATCCGACGCGACCAGAGAGAGATCAGGCTTAGTACCAACGGCTTTGCGTGCTTTCCGAGGCATGGGGCCGCGAATTTCCTATGGAGAATTTCTTGATAGAAAAACGCAATAACTAATTATAGTTTGACCCGATTCGAACCAGTGACCACATGATAAGCAGGCGCGGTTACGACCAATGAACACAGATAATAGCACAAATGCAAACATATATTTTTTGTTCATAAGATTAATTTTCTCTTCACAAACATTGGTAAGTTGTTGGAGTACACTCAAGCGCTTGAGTGGCCCGCAGCGAAATGAGCAGACCACTTAGACGTTGTAATAAACCACTCGAAAATATTCACAGAAAGATATTTTCATTCGTTTCCTTTCACGAAGTTTTCATATTCAACTAGAATTAAGGATTTAACTAGAGAAAATTTCATTATCGTCCAAAATACAAAAATATTGATTATATTTTTAACTTCTACAAAATAATAGAGATCGTAGGATAAAATAGTTTTGAATTTTGTTTTTGTTTGATGCCAATTATAGGCATACTCTTGATTCTTATACGTATCTAGTATAATTTAAGAAAAAAAAGTGTGTTTGTACTTATGTACGCACGTAAGAAATTATACTTCTTTGGCGTAACAAAACAAAAATAACCGAAAATAACTACCTTAAATATAGTTATCTGTTCCCACGAAAACTTGAGAGATAACAACTTCATGGTGTCGTTTTTAGCAGTAGGTGTGCGCGCGCATCGTAAATAATTCACTCTGATAATTTTACCCAAACGCCCCAAAAGAAGTATAACTTCAAAAAATTACAATACACAAAAGTACACTGCAATATTTGCCGTGTAGTGGCGGTGTAAGAATATCCATAAACCCAATCATCCCGTGGGTGTCATAAGAGGCGACAGAGGGAAACAAATCAGGGGATGGGCAGCAGCGTCTTCCTAATAACGACTAAAAATAAAAAACTGCAATTGCCAACCCGCTTGCCAAGCGTGGCAACTATGGAAAATAGCCCCCTAAGAGGCAATCTATGGGGAGGTCTATCTTAAGCAGTGGACTTTAATAGGCTGTACCGGTAAAACAAAAGTAGGCATAAACATCAAATATTCTGACAAATTTAAAGAAGACATGTTATATTATTAGCGAGATAAGAATGGCTCTCCAGCACCTTAAAAACGGCAAGGCCCCAGGCGAGGATGGAATTACAGCGGAGCTTCTGAAAGCGGGTGGAAAACCGGTACTTGAAGTCCTTCAGAAGCTCTTTAATTCCGCCCTCCATTGTGGCATTACACCGGCGGCGTGGAGCAGAAATGCGGTGGTCTTGTTCTTCAAGAAAGGCGACAACGCTCTCTTGAAGAACTACAGACCGATTTCCCTTCTGAGCCGCGTCTACGTGCTGTTTTCGAGAGTCATTACGAATCGTCTCGTGCGCAGACTTGACAGTCCAGCCTCCAGCCTCCCGAACAAGCCGGTTTCCGAAAAGGCTTTAGCACCATAGACCACATACATACCCTTCGGCAAAATGTACAAAAATCAGAGGAGTACAATTTGCCACTATGTCTGGTGTATGTGGACTATGAGAAAGCCTTTGATTTCGTCGAAATTTGGGCGGTGCTGCAGTCCCTTCAGCGGTGCCAAGTGGACTGTCGGTATATCGAAGTGCTGAAGTGCTTGTACAGTAGGGCTACGATGGCTATCCGAGTACAGAACCAGAGTACGAAACCTATCCAATTGCAGAGAGGTGTAAGACAGGGTGACGTCATATCCCCGAAACTCTTCACCGCTGCATTGGAAGACGTTTTCAAGCTTCTGGACTGGAAAGGATACGGTATCAACATCAATGGCGAGTACATCACTCACCTTCGATTTGCCGACGATATAGTCCTTATGGCAGAATCGCTGGAGGACCTAAGCACTATGCTCAATGACCTCAATAGTGCTTCCCAACGGATAGGCCTTAAGATGACAAAACAAAGATCATGTTTAATGTTCATGTCACACCTATGCCGGTAGTTGTTGGGAGCACTAAGCTTGAAGTTGTTGACGAGTATGTTTACCTGGGACAAATAGTCCGACTAGATAAGTTCAACGTCGACCGAGAGGTCAATCGACGGATTCAACTCGGTTGGGAAGCGTTCGGGAAATTACGGCACATCTTCTCGTCAGGTATACCTCAAAACTTGAAAACGAGACTGTACAACCAGTGCGTGTTGCCAGTGATGGCATACGGAACTGAGACGTGGTCCTTCACTGCTAGCCGGATGAGGAAGCTCAAGGTCGCTCAGCGAGCTATGGAGAGGGCTATGCTCGGAGTTTCTCTGCGTGATAAACTCAGAAATGGGGGTATCCGCAGTAGAACCAGAGTGACCGACATAGCCCAACGGATTAGTAAGCTGAAGTGGCAATGGGCCAGCCATATAGCTCGAAGAACCGACAACCGATGGGGAAGAAAGGTTCTCGAGTGGCAGCCTCGTACCGGCAGGCGAAGTGTTGGGCGTCCGCCCACTAGATGGAGTGACGACCTGGTAAGATATGCAGGAAGTCGATGGATGCAGGTGGCTCAGGACCGTGCTTTGTGGCATTCCTTGGGGGAGGCCTATGTTCAGCAGTGGACTTGTGAAGGGCTGTAATGAATGAATGAATGTTCCACATAGATTGCCTCTTATTATTGCCCTCTGTTATTACTCTCCTTTAGTATTAATATCATATTTGAGGTTGCAAAGTGTTATTATAATAAATTAAAAAAAAAACTTAACACGCAGTCAGTACTTGAGTACTATCCCACCTTATAGAAAGTGATGATGTTGCCGGAGATTGTAAAAGTTAGCTTAACAAAATCCTATTTACTTTTGCCTTGAAGACACGCTCAAATTGTAATACCGCATGGAAAGACACGTTACAAAATAGCAAAAACTAATAAGAAGCAAATAACGTCGACATCGTGAGCAGGGCAGTAGTCTCGCACTTGGCTTGCTACTCCGCAGTCGGTAAATTCTGCCTTTAGTGTATTTGCATGGATTCTCTTATATGGAGCCATATCATCACATGAATGTCGTAAGAGGTAACATAGGGAAATGAAATAGGAGAGAGGCAGAAGGCCGGAGCGTTTTACTTATAAAAACTAAACAATAAAAACCTGCGGTTGCCAAACCATCTGCCAAGCACGGCAAAATATTACCCTATGAGACAATCTAATTTTGATACGCTGTATAGAGTATAAGTATACAAATGAATAATATATTAAATAATTTTTGAATGGATTTTCGCTATCTGTCATACCCATATTATTATATAATACTGCCATATTAGCCTCTGTTTGGCGGAGATCATCTTTAAATCAACTGCGACAAAAATACAAAATAAATATTAATTTGCTATTATCACTGCCATATAATAAGTAAAAATCTTAGAATTATATGTTAAATATTTAGAATTAAATAAATATTATTTTAATATAAATAAAAATTATTTATAATTTAAATTTTAAGAAGTTATGACATTTTGCAAGCTTGATATATCAAATGAGAGTTTAATGACATCAAGTTCAAAAGAGGTCAAATACGCAATGCAGCCATTTATTTTTTAAAAAGTAAATTTAAAAAGAAACGTTCGTAATTTAGAATAGTTGTCATAGATACGAAAATATTAATAAAATACGCCGAAACGTCTAAAATCTGACACGCATCTACCGTTTTTTGTCTAAAAAATTGAATATTACAAAAATAAATGATGCTTGGTGATGAAGAAATAAAAGAAAGTAGCCTCATGAGACCCGGCGACGAAATTATAAGGTTTGATTTTCAATTATTTTTTCTTGAAAAAACAAATTTTGACTCGACCATATTGAATTAAATTTTAGTTATTTAATTTGCTCGTTTTTCAATTTTTTTCAGTATACAAGAAATTTGTTTGACTGACAAATTTTATAAAAAAGAGTTGGAATTTGGGAACGAACCTCTTTTTTCAAGTTCAATTAAAAATGAAGTGAGTACATACTGTTAAGAGTAATCGTTATAATACTGATACCACTTAAACTGGTGGTGTACTAAATAAATAAAAGTTTAATTATAAAACATTAAATGTGCAATTTTATAAATACTAACAAATACTAAAGCTATTAAATTACATTTTCGACGTCTCTACGACGACGGCTTAGTCCGGCTCTAAGATCTGCTGGTTCGAATTCCGCAAGAAACAAAGTATTTCCATACCGTTACCGATACAGCCTATCAAAAATACACGCTGCACATAGGCCTCCCCCATGGCATGCCTCATATGGAGGGATATTTGCCACGCTTGGGGTTGGTAACCGTGTTTTTTTTTAAGTTATTATTAGGAACATGCTGCTGGTTTGTTTGCCTCTGCCGCTTCCTATAATACTCACGGGACGATATGGGGTAATGGATTCACTTGCGCCGCTACTAAAAGGCGAACAGCGGGGTCAGCACGCCGCAGTTAATCGAGCTGGCTAAAATAAGTTGATTCTTCTCAGCACGTCCAAAGCCCGACGCTGCTCTGATAATAAGCATTTTATTGCATATAAATAGGTGTTATTTTTGCGCGTAACATTGTGGCACTTTGTGTCCTGCGTGTTTACAAATTTCCGACAGTGACCGGCCGCTACACATCACGTCATTGTCAAAATCTTCTGGAATTTAAATAGAAAATGTGCGACTCTTCAGATGGACTGTATGCTCGTTGGTCACCTTACTTAAATGAAATAAAGTTAACAAGCTGAACAAAATATTTTTGCAGTTGGAGGTGCCCCGTTTCCTTCGCGACGGCTTCTTCCCCGAAGGCTCGGATCAACAGCAGGCCAGGTTTGCCTGGACGGAGGAGGACGGGAACATCGCTTCCCTGGTCTCTGAGCCTGGCTTTGGCACCACTGGGCAAACCACTTTCGGCAATAGTTTGGATGCAGCCTTAAAAACAGAAATGAAGGTAAAATACGTATTATTTGAGTTTCATTTTTTATATTTATATCAGAAAAAGAATAATCGCCTTAAAGCCTGTAAATTAAGAAAGTATATATTTATATTTGTATAAATTTATAACTATTCAAAGTAAGAAGTAAAGTTACATGAACTGCATGTAGGAATGAAATGCAGTTTCAAACTTTGTTTAAATTTATTTTATAAAATATTATTTATAACAGTACACTGAACTGAACCACAAGATGCTAGGGCACACACGTGAGAAAGGAAGTGACAATGTTGCCTTCACAAATTGTCCTTTTTTTAGGTTGCTAGATAATTAATACTTATTTACCACAAATAAATTTTATGTTTAAGATTTTCTTTAACTTAGATAATTAAATCAAGAACATCATTATATAAACTTAAAGGAGACAAATGATACTACGAATTTCTTGAAGTATTAAAATTAAGAAGTTTAATACCCACATAAATAATAATAAAAAACTTAACTCACACATACACTTGTATAATAAATTATAATTAGTCTCATTAATCGCTTTTATACGTCCTACTCGTGGATAGTAATGGCCTCCTCTCATTTCTGACGGGTTCTAAGTCAAGGCCACTACCACACGCCAATAAATCATCACTGGCTGATAATTTCTGTACTGCGTGTTTTCTAGGAGGCGGATACGTCGAGTTCCTCGTTCCAACCTACGAATCGAAATGCTTTTTCTTTTTTTAAGAAATCTCACACGGACCCCCACATTGTAACTTCCACGTCCGCTTCTACATCCAGTATCGGCATTGGTAAACACTTTAAATATATTTAATATCACATAAATCATATAAATTTATGTTAATGGATTTTTTATTGGGATCATTATAATACACATAATACCAGCATAAAATAACAGCTCAATGCTGCTGTTTCGTATGGTGAGTGTAGAAAACGGTAACACTTTTTACTGGAAACGAGGCATTCCATCTCAGTTCTCAGGGGTGGCAATGCATCTGCATTTTGATTCTTAATCGAAGATAGATGTGGATATTTATAGGCCACTTACGAGTATCATCAGGTGGACTGTGTGCTCGTGTCACCCTGAGATTTAGCAATCGAATTATGGCGGAGAAACCATTATAATTTATCAGCTTTTACCTTACAGGCTAATGTTGAGGGTCAGCATAATTTTCCAGACTGATTTCGAGGAATAGCACCAGTGCAAAGATCCTCTGATTGCACCAATCTGACTGCCCAGCGTGGTGATCTGGTACAATCGTGTTCCTATGTGTGTGTGAAGTATCCATAGAAGAATTTAAAAAAATATACAAGAGATGAGACATTTGCATTTTTTAACTTTTATAAGCCAGGGCTTGACTTTTGGTGATCCCATTTGATAGATGAAGCTGAAATAGGTAAAACGCACTATCTAAGCTTAACAAAAGCCTATTCACTCTTGCCTTGACTTCTACATTGCAATCGGTTGGAAAGGCAGATGTTGACAAATTATTGCTCACCTTTGGTGTATACTTGACGAACGACGAAGATAACTGTTTGGTTCGAATACATTGTATGCCGCACTACGATGATGAAAAGGAGAGGGAACAAATCATTCAACTCCTATGCACAGAGTGCCTAATTTTAGCAACATGAAAGTATTTTAGATATTAAAAAAGCACCTGTTTTATTTTTTAATTAGGTTTTCTGGCCTGAACAGGGAATCAAACGGGTAGAATGTGAAAATCCGTATAATGTTGTTTTTTTTTTTAAAATAAACAGTATTTGCTTCAAGTTTAATGCTGTACAATTTAAATTTTTTATGTTTTCTCTTCGGAAATCTTGTCCTGTTCAAATTTTTATAAAAAATGCCTCCTAAAATTAAGGGAGGAAAAATAGGAAGATGATTTTTTTTATTGTTACTATTTTCGAGAACATTTGAATAGCTCCCTTGAGCTTCTAATTGTTTAGTCCACTAATAAGTACAAAATAATATGTAATGCAAAGACCACGATATTTTTAGTCAATGTTTACTTTGCATTATAAGTTAATGAAAAAAATATATATTATTTGGATTATATTTCTAGGCAAGGGTAGTCAAAGCACCTACAAAATAGATAAAACGGATCCAAGATCTAGATACCATTTTGTGAAATATGTGAAAAGAAATGGGCGGACGGTGAAGCTGTGGGAGTGCGGTATATGTGAGTAACTTTATAATTAAACTTGGTATAGAATATCGCCGTGTTGTGTCACCTCATTTTGCCATCTGAAAACAAAGGAAAAAAGAAAATATTTATTTCGCCTCATTAGCACAACGCCATAATATTTTCTCATTTTGAACGTTATCTATACAAAATAAAATGATAGAGATTTGTAGTTGTGCGTGCATCATAGAATAGATTTCAATTAGGTTTTTATAAGTTTTATTTCTTAGACACTTGGTTCTTAGCTAAAAAAATATTGCGATATCTTCATTTAATATAATGTTATTAAAGCTTTAAGAAACAACGATTTTTATACGGGGTTTTTCACACGGTCAACTGTATGTCGCTTGCTCTCGCGTTACTAACCCAGATAATTTATATATTTTAGCTACAAACGGAGCAACGAATAACATTGTTTACAAAGTTTTGTCTTTTTGACGCACATATGAAAACTTTATTAATATATCAAGCAACGCGGTCGAAGTCGCGGGTATTAGCTAGTTAATAATAAAGTATTAGACGTTGCCGAACGTGACGAAAACGTAAATGTCATGACGAACCACAGCCGCTGTTTTTAGTGTGGCCTCTTTTCCTCTCTTTCGAGTAGTTCGAGCAGTGGTCTATCTTAATACTCTATAAATAAATCTCAACAGTTAATAATAAAATTGGGATGTAAAATTCTCTGATTTAACGTGGTAGAGCTACGCTGCAGCTATATTTGCAGCACAAATGGATCTGCTCGACCGGGAAGGTCCACGCGTTCGCAGACTGCCAATGTACTGTTTCGTACGTTGAGTGTAGAGGACCGCAGACACTTTGTACTTAATGGTACGAAGCATTATATCTTAGTTCTATTTTGATTCTTAATCTCTTAGATGTAGGTGTCAATGGGCCACAGAATCCACTTACCATCAGGTGAACTGTGTGGTCATTTATCACCTTTATTCTATAAACAAAGAATCGGCAACAGGAGGAGGCATCAGAGGTGCGTCTCGACTGGTACTGTGACCGCCAAATCGCCTGAGAGGCATGTTTGTCCGGAACCTTGTCAATAATATAATGTTTATATGTCTTGTAATAATGAAGAAAAAGGGGAAGCTTATTTAAGTTAAGATCGTAAACATACTCATATATTTTTGAGGCCATTTTGTTATAGATTAGGCTACACTGTAATTTTCTTAATGAAAACTTAGTCGCTTTTCGACGGAAAAGTAAAGTAAAGTAACAGCCTATATAAGTCCCACAGCTGGGGTACAAGGCCTCCTCTCATTTCGATGGAACCGATACAATAATTGCTGGCTACATCTACCAATTGGTTACAACCAGATTATTTCACTCATACGTATATGTAATGCTAAATGCTTAGTACCTACGTGCTTGGTGACAGAGGAAAGACATTACGGAAACTTGCAAACTGAGAAATTAAAAGAATAAAATATTGCGAAAACATGTGAACACGGCAATACGCATTGGGACAACATCGCGAACACATCTTTGTCCTAAGGCCCTCTTTTGTATGAGGAGAAGCCTATACCCAGCAATTTACGTTCTGGATGAAGTTACACAAAAAGGAGGACCATCGTTGGATCTAGAATGCAATACCAGAAAAAGTAGCATTAATAAAAATCTTATCTTCCTTCAATTAAGTATTATAACTATAAATTTAAATATATATAATATTGATAAACAATTAATTTCAGGTAGTCGAGAGTTTCAACATCAGTATACGCTGATGCGTCACCTGCCGACACATACTGACGAAAGGAACTTTCACTGCTCTACATGTGGGAAGAGCTTTAGGCAGCTGTCTACGCTCAGCCAACATCGCGCTATACATTCCGCTGAGAGACCTTACGCTTGTGAGGTGACATTGGATAATACTTAATTACTACGAAATATTGTTCCTATCTCTTTTTTGCTTTAATCTGGGTTCCTGTTCCTACTTAGTCTCACTTTTCCCGTCTTCACAATCCACCTTATTGTATTATTGATTTGCCTATCATTTTGTGCCGAATGAGATTTCACGTGCAAGGTTGACACCTGTCCGATCCGTGACTAACAATAACTGTAAATTGGATAGTACGAACTCCCTTTTGGGGGCAATTTTAGTATTAACTTATGATTTCAGCTGAATTGTCTTTTATTTATTGTATCCTTATAATTATATATTTTCATTTTGTTTTTAACATTTGAAATGGGTGTCAAAAAGACTGTAATAATAAATTACTATTATTATTATTATTGTTTAAATAATCAAAACATATAATAAAGAATTTGAGTGACTATTTCATGTATGCGCATATTTTTTTCTGAGCATAAACTATTTTAATAATTATCAATGATGGGCATCCACGTCTTTTTCTGCCACCAGGGCGGCGCCACTAGAAACTGAGGTATAATATATGACAGATTTCATAGTGGGGAAGTTAATTAGTTCGGTAAATGTAAAAGTTATTGTTTCTTTTTGTACTATTAACTATATTTTATATTATTAACATTAAAAATAAATAAACCAAACCACAGATATTCATAAAAGTTGAAAAATTAAAAAAAGTTTAAAATGCGCAAAAAAATTAAAGAGCAAACCACTGACACATTATTTTGTGTATTATTATAATACTCTAGAAACTGATAAACTTTTATTAAAAAACTAGACTAAACTAAACTAGCGACATCTGGTGAGCATAAAATTATTAGCCCCCATTCTCGCCCGTCAAAAATTGTTTAAAATACGATATATTCTCCAACCTTGCCTTAACTTCTATAAAAGATAAGACAGTTACATTTTTAACTCTATCTCCTTAACCAGGTCTGCAATAAGACGTTTAACCGAGTTTCCACCCTGATATCCCATCGAAAGACCCACTCTGATGAGAAGCCGTACAGGTGTCACATCTGCCCAAAAGGATTCCATCAAAAAGGTTACTTTCCTCTTTCTATCCTTATCCTTTATCCTATAACCAGCTTTAATCGAAAAATTTACACTGGCGACAGTAGCTTAACCGTTAAGGGTACGGAACAACTTCTAGACTCTGGATTCGAATCCGCCATTCGACTACTGTCGTGAACCACTCCTAACGCAATAATTTTAAGCTCAATTGGAGTAACGAGACTATTATTAGTGTAGTAATGTTAATTGCTCAGCTAGTACCTATTTAGAATTTTTTTATAACCTTTATTCAACAGCGAGCAGTATATAATTAAATTAGTATTCGCATTATAAGTAATATACATTTAAGTTGTTTTGCGGATTTCATAGCGTATTTTTACTTTTTAATATGCCACTACTTACACTAAAATCTTACCTGGCGTTAAGTAGCAATGAAGCCCACTAGATGGTAAATCACAATACGAATATCTTATGACCAAATACTCAAATGGTACTCAGTTTTAAGATGCCGTTAAGTCTCGTGGTGTCATTCACTTTGAATTAAAGTGATAGAGACAGCACGAGACTTGTGGCATCTTAAAATTGGGCAGCGTTTGATTGAGTATACACATAAGCCATTAGCATAAGCCTATTCAGAAGAAAGGTTCTCGAGTGGCAGCCTCGTACCGGTAGGCAAGTGTAAGGCGACCCCTCACTAGATGGAGAACCACCTGGTAAGACATGCAGGAAGTCGACGGATGCAGGTGGCTCAGGACCTTGCTTTGTGGCATTCCTTGGGGGAGACCTAGGGTCAGCAGTGGACTTGTAAAGGGATGTAATGATGATGATGATGATGATGACCTGTTTGTCCGATGGTGAAAAAGGGAAGGAGAAATTAAGGCATGTATCCATTGATCCGTTACAGCATATAAAATTCCACTGCTGAATATAGGCCTCCGCCATTGATTGCCACATATTTTGCCTCAGTTACCAAGATTGGCATTCGAGTTGCCAACCGTAGTTGGCAACCGCAGTTCTTTATTAATATATCAAGAATATTATCAGGAAGATGCCGCTTTCCATTTCCTGTTTCCGTTTCTCTCTGTAGTCTCTTACGATACCCACGGGACGATATGGAGTAATGGATATTCTTACAGCGCCACTACACGGTCTACAGCAGCACCTATGGTCAGATGATGTACCAAATATTAATGTTGAAAACATGAATAATAATTGATGTATTCACAATTGTTACAATTTAAATAGTTGTTTTTGTCTGTTATTCTGTCTATTGAATATTACTTATTGTTTTTATAGGAAACTTGCGCAATCATCTCTTTACACATACTAACGAAAGGCCCTATCGCTGCAACATTTGTTTCAAGGGTTTCAATCAGCAATCTAATCTCGTATGTCACAAAAATAAGGTATTTTGATTTAATATATGCTTCAAATAAATTTAATTGAAGAAATATTTTAACGTCTTTCTGAAATGTTACGTTACCGTTATCGTTACAAGTTCACTGCTGAACATAGGTGTCCCAAACAGATTGCTTCATAGGGGGATATTTGCCAAAGTTGCCACGTTTGGTAAGCGGGTTGAAAACCGCAGTCTATTTTTTATTTTTAGTCATTATTAGGAAGACGCTGCTGCCCATCTCCTGATTTGTTTCCCCTCGTCACCTTGAAGGTTGTATCAATGTCATTTTTTGTTATATTTAATGTATGTGCCGAGTGGCGCTAGACCATCATTCACATTTGACCATCTGACACCTCTTTGGCTAAGGAGTGTCAGAGACAGCTTTAATTAATGCCAGAAAGACTTAATGACATCCAATAGATGGCTATAACCTCATCTAACCAGTTGTTTTCCTTCACAGCCTATCAAAAGTCCACTGCTGAACATAGGCCTACCCCATACATTGCCTCATAGGAGGGATATTAGTCATTGTTGTCATGCTTGGCAAGCAGGTTGGCAATCGCAGTTATTTTACTCAGATTTACTCAGAACCTAAGACGCTACTTCTCATCTCCTGGTTCAGTTTTCCTCTGTCGCCTCTTACAAAACACACGGGATGATATGGGGTAGTGGATATTCTTACACCGCCACTACACGGTTACAGTTGTATAGCAAGTAGTAAAATATCCAGACCGGTGACGGTGAACAGCGTCAAAAATGCGAGACGTCTGGTACTGAGGTCGACAATTCGCATGGTAAGCGTGATGACTACGGCAAATATGAAAGGACAGTGGGAAAGGTGCCATGCCCAGCTGTGAACTTACTCGGGTTAATAAAAAAAGAAGAAATTTTGGTCATACTTGCTTTTTATTTTACATAGTTATTAATCAACAGAATCGACTTCAAGCAACAACTTAAGGTTACTTATACTTACGTACACTTACATTTTAAGTGATGCAAAAACCAAGCCAAAACCATGCTCAACTAATTGTAAGAACACGCACTGATTTATAAACATAATATTTGCATCTAAAATCGTTTGCAACAAACAATATGGTTTTAGGTGCATATGTGTACGTTCAGCAGTGAACAGTGTACGGGCTGATAAAAAAAGAAAGAAGAAAGATGTCTGCGTGAGTGGGTGTCAAGAATTGAGCATGGTTTTTGCGTCATTTGAAATTTACGTAGCAGCACTCTCTCTTTAGTGTTCGTCTATCTTTTTTGGTCTGAGTATCGTTCTTCCTTTCAAAGTATTTTATATAATTGTGAAATGCTAGAAGCAAACAGTATGAGAGCACTCTAATCTGAATTGATCAACGATTCCAGGCGCATCCAGATGATATCAGCATTGGTTCTTGTAATAGTGGACGTAGTATTCCTCGCTCGGCAAAATCTGTCTCCGTTGCTGAGAATCAAGTCGATTCTTCGAGGTGAGTTATTAAAAAATTATTCCTTGTAAAAAAAAAGGGACAATAAATTGTCATTAATTTTCACCGTCGCTATTTATATACTTAAGTAGTAGATTTCAGGTTTTGTGTTTCTGTTAATTTTTATTTGTCGTAATTGTTTCAACAACCATTTTTTGAAGATTTTTTTAGTACCCTCAGCACTTAAAATTTATATACAACAATACAAACGGATTTATATACATAAATTGCTCAGAGACAAGCACCCATGTCAATATCAATTACTTTCATGAAATATGGGCATGTCCACTGCCAAATATAGGCCTCCCACAAACAAAGCATGTTCCTGAGTCACCTTCGTAAATCGACTTCCTGCATGTCTTACTAGATAATCACCCCACCTAGTGGGGAGCCGCCTTACATTTCGCTTGCCGGCACAAGGCTGCCACTCTAGAATCTTTCTCAACCATTGATTGTCGGTTCGTCGATACTATAAAGCCGTGCCATTGCAACATCAAATTACTGCACTACCAAACCGACAATAAATATTTGTATCTAAATCAGTGCTGCTGAAGATGCTTTGTGTCATTCGTTGGAGGATGGCTATGTTAAGTTGTGATAGAAATATAGAACTGTAGAACTTTAAAGAATACTAATATCAATAGGGAAGCATTATTGAGTTATATGTACTACGTACTAGAGAAGCCATTCCAAACAAAAATTGTGTCCTACTCTGTCTTTAATTTAATATAAAATAAGATATTAATATAAAATAAATATAAGAATTTAATAAAATCTTAATTTAATCTAAACAAACATATTTCTAAATAAAATGTAATAATAATTATTTTATGGAATTCACAAATCTTCAATTTACGCAATATTTAGTTTGTATGGATTACACTACAGTTCAGTTGAACATAGTCAATGTTCGGAATGGCTTCTCTAGTACGTAGTACATATAACTCAATGGGAAGCATTGTTTTATTGAAGAGGTAGTGATTATACGGCGAACGGATAGTAAGCGATCACCGCCGCCCATGGACATCTACACTCTACAGTACGAGAGAAATCTTAGGTACTTTGCCGGCCTTTAAAAAAGAAGTACGCTTCTTGAAACTTGAACTATTATTTGTAACTTAGGGTACAAATAATAATTCAAGTAAAGAGTGAATAGGCTTTTGTTAAACTAAGTCAGTGCTTTTGATGGTAACATCTTCGGCAGCATCACTACCACTATTCACCAGAAAATTAAATTTCTTAAACTGGGCCACCCCTAAAGTTTTCCGCAAAGCACGGTAGCTCAATATCAATATGACCGACACATATAATCCTTTATATTATCTTGTATATTTAACACACAATATTTATTTTAGAACATCAAACGATTATTGCGAAGTAAGCTCTACAGTCGGCCCCCAATTACAATCTGTTGAAACTCCATCTTCGTCTGCGTGGGCAACAAAATCAAGCGCTCGGGACGTTACCAAATACTTCCCAGAGCCGTTTGATGCGTGGTGCTTCATCAATCCGTGGAGTGCTATGGGCAGTGGTGTTTTTGTTGATCCCATAAAAACATACCATATGCAAGTTGCATTGGCGACAAAACAAACACCGTTCGCTCTGCTTAAACCGGACAAAGGCGCTCCGGTGTTAGTGAAAGTTGTAGACACAAATCATCTTGGTGGTAAGCAGGTAAGTTGTGGTCGCTATCAACATCAATTTAGAGCAAAATCTTCATCATTATTATCACTTCTAGTATCTGATGGTAAGGGGATGCTGTGGTTCATATCTTTCACGGGAAAGATATTGGATCTTTCTTCGACTAATAATCAAAATTAAATTCCTTGTCACCCGTGAGAAAAGAAAACATTGTTCTCGTCATTAACTATACGAATACCATTTTACAGTCTGATTACATACACGCTCGTTATTTTAAAAAAATATTGTAATAAACTATTTCACTGCTTCTAATGTTAGAATTTATTCTCAAAATTATTTATATAAAAGAACACTACTCGGTAACAAACCCTGCTTACATGATAACACCAAAGTATGCAAATCAACAGCATCACTATCGATCTTAATGTAACACAGGACAGCCTCTCAGCAACACGATCTTCCTTGCCTACATTAGCAGAATACTCCAACGGGTATAGTAACGATAGTGAGACTCGTAGAATTACCGACTGCTCTCTATTAGTCAGTTTGTTATCAGAAAGATGCTGCTGCCTATTTTCTTCCTCAGTTTCCCTCTGACGCCTCTTACGACACCCACGGGAAGATATGGGGTCGTGGGTATTCTTACCCGCCACTACACGGTGTATGTAGTAAAATTCCCTATCTTCTGCTTATACTATACCAACTTAGCCTGCCTTTAACCTTATCATAATAAAGATCTATACATACTCTTAACCAAATTTTTATTAATATAATAATATTAACTAAATTAAATGATATGATAATTGAGAAAAGAAGAGCAATTTTAATATCAAAAATTAAAAAAATGTAAAGAAAATGGAATTCGTGCTGAATATTTTGGATCAAATCCACATTCAAATGGAAAACATATTTCTCGATCTATAAATCATATTTTGATAGACTTACAGATTATATTATTTTAATATTAGAAATAATAATAATTAAAATTGATATAATTGATAATAAAATAATTATTTATATTAAAAATAAATTAAACTTTTTGATTGGAAATCAAATATACTAAATATATTATATAATTTAAAAACTAGTTTAACTAAACTAGGTTAATACTGCGCCCCGTTGGCTCAGTGCATTTTTTGGCACTATATCTAGCGCATTATCAAAGAGACTTAATATATATATATATATATATATATATATATATATATATATATATATATATATATATATATATATATACCGCATTATCGAAGATGCGAGTTAAAAAAATTACGGCACAAATCGCAAACAGTGACTTGTCTGCTAAACCAGTTAGGGCAACATCATCATCATCATTATCGACACTCTTTTCAATATAAAATATTTCTCACAAGTAATTTCTTTTAATTATAGATGCTGGTGCCAGCCACCGCCGAAGACTTGCGAGACGGTGGTAAACTTATTATGAGAAATGACGACAGCTCTGAAGCCCGGGTAAATTATTAATAACTAGACACTAGTGATCTTATTTATACTGAAAATCCATACGTAGTGTTTTTGTAGTAATTGGGTCTAATGCTGACGATTGTCCATCTTGATATTGAAATCAATTGGTCCCAAAACGTTATTAAAAATATTTTTAGTAAAGCCGAAGCCGTTTCTAAGATATTTCCAGATGGAGAGTAGAAGGATAATCAGTGCCAATTTCTTTTTCTGTGTATGTGTGTGTGCGTGTGTGTGTGTGTGTGTGTGTGTGTGTGTGTGTGTGTGTTTGTCTGTGGCACTGTAGCTCTTAAGCGGGTGCGGGTTTTTTTTTATTTTAAAGCTGGTTTCTCAGCGGCGGTTCTTAGATATGTTTTATCAATATCGGGTAATCCGTTTCAAGGTCATCAGCTGTTTTTTTAGCTGCGGTAGGGATCTTTTCTAGGTTTTTAAAATATTCAATTTAAATTACATAAAACTTAGGTGACAGACAAACCTACAGTTCATGTTATGATAGTAAGAGGCTACTGTAGTTTCCAATGATATCTGCAGCCAACTTCAAACAAAGAAGGCTACCGATGAGTTGTCACCTCTGAGGACTGAGATAGGAAGTTTCACAGCCTGTAATTGTACCGGCTTTCTATACTCTTCGAACTGGACCACGGCAGTGCAAGCACTGCTATTTGGTGGTAGAAATAGGTAAGGTGATGGTAACTACCCAAATGGACAACTCAAATAGAAGTCATAATACCTAGAAAGGTAGTCTATTTATTATGTTAATAGCCTTATGAGAATCTATCACTCCATTCCATTATGTTTGTTGACGTAAAATAACGATACGATAGCGTCATAGTTTGTTGCGTTCGAAATATTCCTTTTCTGCCGACTTCCAAAAAGGAGACGGTACTCAATTCGACTGTATGTTTTTTTATGTTTCTTACCTCATAACTTTTTACTGGGTGAACCCATTTCGATGATTCTTTTTTTATTTGAAAGCTAGTACTTATCGTGTGGTCCCATATGAATTTGATCAAGGTCAGACCAATAGTTTTTGAGTTATTCTTTATAACTTATATTGAAGTCGGCTGTACAAAATTTTTAATTTTAAATTATTTATTTAGCATATACTCTTTAGGTCCAGGTCATTGGTCTTTCAGATAATAGGGAGAATTTATCATATCGCCATGCTTGGCAGGTGTATTGGTAATCGCAGGAATGTCTTGTATTTTGAGGGTGCTTTAGGTCACTGGTTTGAGGAATTTAGATCTGGTATTAAATATGACTTTGCTATATGAGGGCAAAAAGATCTCGTACCTAACGAAACCCATGTGATATGAAATAATATCTAGTCAGCAGATTTTCAAGCTTACATCAATAATAAATTATGGCAAGCTGATGATGATTATATTTTTTTTATTTTTCCTCTTATAATAAAGAAAGAGGAAATATGACTTTAAAGGTGAGAAATGATTTTTGTTTAAGGGCGTCGAAGTTGAATCAAGGTCCGTTGATAATGGTGCGGTTCAAATCCGGGTGCCAGTTGTGGCGACCGTAGTTCCGAAGATCCAACCAGGCGGCCAGCTGCAGTTGAGCGTTGAGGAACCTCACCACGCTTATCACACTGCTCTGTCTACTGAAGGTATGGATTTTTGAATTAGCTATTTCAGTTTATTTTGAATTTTGACAACTTATGGCTTCATTTATAATGTTGATTATCACTTACTTCAGTTAAGAATTAATGATGTCTATACCTGTTTCTTTCTTTCATTATTTAGTAAAAATATTTAGATAGAGCGTACGACATTTAACATTTCTTAAATTGACGTCAATTTTATTAGGGGCCTCCCTAGTTTATTTACCTTTTTTATAATATTTGAAGGACAAACAAGTAAATAGTTTAGATATTGGGAAGCGGCTACTGCCGCCCATTAACATCTGCAAACGTTTATATTTTATTCTCTACACTCATCTTACCCCGGCAATACATGTTGGCCACCACCCAGCGCGAGCGTAGGCAAATTGATACAAGGCGAGTGCTACAGTCTACACGTTGGCCAAGTTCGAAAGAGACCAATGCGAACAGCCAATGTTCACGAGTTTTTGTGGGGCTATCCACATGTTGGCCGTAATTAGTTTTCATTGAGTATTGGAACAATATGGACGGCGTAAAAGTTATTGCAGCTTCTGCTATTTATTTAATGAGTGCATATAATTATCATGTCAGTGTACTCCGCAGTAAAGTTGTAAACAAGAAGAAGCAGTGTCGAAATTATTTTGAAGTTGCAATTTAATTAAAACATAACTTCTCACCGGGACGGACGCCAAGATGTAACTGATATGGCCGACTAACATGTGGACGCGACTTGCAGAGTGCAGGCGAGCGCCTTTAATTTGTGCAGGAAAACCCACACTGTTCCGAAGTGGACGAGTCGTAGCGAGCGATCCCGAGTGGCGGCAAGGCACGCCAAACGAACCGTATACACGTTGGCGCTCGCCTGCACTCGGCCAGCTAGGCGAGTGTCGACGAGCAATGGCGAGGCTAGACAAATGGGCTATCTATACGTTGCGTTGGTGCTCGCCTTCGCTCGGCCAACAAGTATAGCCGGCTTTACGAAACACAGTAGCACTGTGCTGCTATTTTACGCTTAAATTTTTGATGGCGTGACCTATCCTCGCTAAAGTTGAGCCGTTCGTGCGCAGCCACAATACAATTGCAGCGTGGCTTTACCACGTATAATATAATATATAATTTTAAACAAAAATGCCACTGATACATGTTAAGAGAGTACGAACGACTAAGATGCAATGCCTCACCGCTTGTGATTATACTGGCTCTCTCACTGCTGCTGATTAGCGGCAGCAGTAGAGTAGGACCAATCCAGATCAACTTCTAGGTTCGTATTCCACACTGAGTGATTAGGAAACTCAAAGTCACTGAGCGTGCGATAAAAAGAGCCTTGCTCATAATTATAATACTGCGGTTGCTCCAAAATAAAAAATAGAAACTGCAGTTGCCAATTGGCCTGACAAGCGTAGCAACTATAGCAAATATCGCGTCTAAGAGGTGATATACGTGGAAGGTCTATGTTCAGCTGTGGACTGTGGTTCCGTTCCATTAAAGCCTATCTAGACTTTAATGGAACGGATAAAGGATTACGCGAAGCTATAGATTTGATAAAATTTAAAATGTCTCATGTTAATGTGGTAAGCAATTTGGTTTTAGCTTTTCTTTGTCGTGTTAATAAAAATTTATCGATTTTAACTGTTGCAGCACCTTGTAGTTCTTTATCGTGCGCGTTACCCCCACCGGCACCTTCCCCACCGCTCGATCTCATTTCCATGGACTTGTTTGAGCCGATGGAATGCCTACCTATGGGTAAGTTACATTTAATTTATTTACGATTATTGTATTGCGTTCATCGCTTACACACATGTAACTCTTAGAAATGAAATCGATTGAGTAGGAAGGTTCTTGGGTACAACCACGCATTAGCATAGCCCAATGTACTGTTGTTTGAGCGATATAATAGTGAACATAGTAAAGTGGAGTAACAGTCTATAGCCCTACTACTAGGCATAGGCCTCGTATAATTTCTGTGAGTTTAAGGTCAAAGAAGTGTCCTTCACACTTGACACCTTGTTGCACTGATAGATTTTACGACTTCAACTTTTTTTATTTCTCTGTCATGTTTTTTGTTACGATGTTTTCCTTCACTGGTAAACACGTGGTAAATTAGAACTTAATACTGCAATTAACAATTCCATCGGTGCTGACAGGGATCGAACCCGGGTTAAACGTGTATTGTGAAATTTGTGCATGCGCCCTGAGCTAAGTAAATATAGGTTTGGATTGAATATTACTATCCCAAATTATTTTACTAATTGCACAAATAATTCGGCTCTAACTGCAATTTAGCCCGTGACCTAGTTCCCAAGTTATTCACCACGCGGGTGTTCAATCTCTCTAATACAATATTATGTAAGACTGCACATGAATACAAGATTTAACTAGAGTTCTCTAATTTCATCAAAAATTAGTAAGATCAAGAATAAAGTCAGGCAATAAGCCAGTGCTTGACTACTACACCTAATTATTAATGGTGCTGCAGCTTAAAATAATAAAACGCACCGACTTAGCTAATAAAAGCCCTGCCTTGAAGAAATTCACATTGGAATCGGATACAAAGACAGATTTACCACTGTTTCATATGTAGACTGACTACAGACTGACAAAGAAGAAATTGTGTTATGAATTAACTTTAACTTTGCTTAGCTATCGCAAACTATACTGCAGGTCCTCAGATCACTGCGGTGGATAAAGTGCACCAACCGCCCGGCTCAGACGACTCCGACATTTTCATTGGAAAATTTGAAGTGAGTACATGCTTCACTAATCTTCTGCTATTAAAATGCAAAAAAAATTTATATCTATCCTATGAGCAATTTTTTACTGTCACTTTGAATAGATATAACATAATTATTGCAGTACTAAAATCGCTTTACGTATTACAACCATGCTGCAGCTGTATAATGAAAATTGAAACCCTTTTTAATAGTAACGAGGCATTCCATCGTTGTCCTCAGGGGTGAAAACAAATCTGCATTTTGACTCTTAATCAAGGATATATGTAGGCTTCTAGACTTTGTACGTAGTAGAGCTAAGGTGCAGAATATCATAGCTGCAGCAGGAGTAGGTCAGCTCGACCGGGGAAGTACCACGCTAGCGCAATACCAGCGTGAAATAGCAGCATAATGCTTCTATATTTTGAATAGTTAGCGACGAGAACCAGAGGTTCACGGTAGCGAGTTATTCCATATAAGTCATGTGAGTTTGATTTATTATTGAGGATATATGTAGTTGTCTTGGGCCTTGGCATACATTTAGTATCTGGTGAACTGTGTGCTCATTTGTTACCCTTACACTATGTGAATCTTCCCCTAGCATCGTTATATAAGGGTCCAATACAAGTCTAAGCCTCCGCCTATTTTGAAAAGGGTAATGAAGCAGAGAAGCGACCGCTGACAATGCATATATCGCAAAACATATTTTAATTCTCAAGCATATAGTTTATTTGTTTTCTTTCATCCCTGAGCACGTGGTTCAATGGAAAATGGCAAATTTACATGAATAGATTATTATTATAATGAATAGATTTAGCGATTATTCGTATACATATTATCTATATATTATAAAATATATACTTATTAACAATGTATTTACTTCGCTACAACTGATTATTTATATTATGAATTAATATAATTTAAAAACATGCCGTTGGAATTGTAAGAGGCGAGAGACGGAAATCAAACTGGAGGTTGGTAGCAGCAACTTCCTGATAATAACTCAAATAATAAAACTTTCGTACCAAATGTGGCAACTATGGTAAATATCACCTCTATGAGGCATTCTATCTGAGAGACTTGTGTACAAAAATATACTCTAGGTTGTAATGAATAATGAATTAAAAATTTGTAAGTTGCCTAATTGCCGTATTACAGACGAACTAGTGTTATTCATATTTTGAATTCAAATGGATAAAGTTTTATTATCTCAGTTTACATTAATGTTCTTATTACGCAATATATTGGATCTGGGAGTTTAAAATAACAGTATGTCTACGAAGTACCACTGGACACCTTTTTATTTCTGAGCGGGTTTTTAGAGCGGAAAATTATCCGCTCTAATTTATGATGGCGTACTTCACTCGTATTCGTTTTCTTTATTTCTTAGACATGCCGGTTTTCTCGCAATGTTTCTTTCACCGCTGAGTACGTGTTAAATACCAAATATCTAAAGCAGCCAATTAACAATTTCATTCGAGGGGGGGGGGGGGGGGGGGTAATTGAACTGGATTGCGGGGCCTATTCGCTATTTTGGTCGACAACGTAATGATAGTCACTTTGTATTACCTAACCCTAACTTTGTATTATCTACATAGTTTTCCCACAATCCAACTACTACAAGTCAGTTGTAGCTAGGATAGCTCCTGAATCATTATTTGTCGTTTGGGATCTTTCCGGCAGGGCTGTCTTGTTACGTTGCAAATAAATTAAAATGGTTCACGTGGTAAAAACGGCGGTATACAGTAATTTAAAATCAAGTAGTTCAAAAAAATCGAAAATATCTATTTTGGTGTAATTCTAATAGGGTAGTCCAGTTAGGTTAAAAAGGTTAAAATAAATATTTAATATCACTTAAAAGAAGGCTTCAAAATAATACGATAGCTGAAAAACAACTAACATCCGTCAAAATATTATGACTGATATTGCAGTTATACACTTTAAAATTGTCTTTGCCGTCTTCTTCCCGCAAAATGGACCAATCGGGAATATTAACTTACTTCGACGAGAATCGTAATGACGTAATTTTGTGTATATGCCATCTTTGTCTATTCATCTTATTTGTATGCAACTTAAAAGCTTCCATTTACATTTCAATATGTATTCAAATAAAAAATATAGTGTTAAATAGGTTGTTATTACTCATAGATATGTTATATTATGTATAAACTACTTATATTATATTCGACAGTCCACTATTTTTTATAATAAATTTTCTTTATACTCCATTTATTATAACCTAATTTTATTATTTCTGAACATCAAATTTCTGATTAAGTTATTTAATAAACACATTAAATAACTTAATCAGAAATTGAACGTGGAATAAAATGAAATCAGTTTTTTATTTTATATTATTTCCCGTTGTGACAACCCTAGCTATTTTATTGTTTTTGTTGGTTTTTCCGACAATATCAAATGCGATAACTGGACTGTATGTTCTTCTTAGGCTCATAAAACATACGATGCAACGTATCTACTACAAAATGACTATCATTTGATGACAATAATTTTGGCGAATGCTGCTCGCGTCCTAGCGTTGTGGCCCTCAGCTTCTACGCTTCCCTTTGGATCCTTACGATACTAATTCAAATTAATTGTCTTTCAGGAAAGCATCCCACTATCCGATTCCGACTGAAGTGATTTTGAATTAGGTAAATTTTAATAACAGACGCATGCCTATAAGACAAGTTTGTACGTTTAGTTAGTATTAAGTAAAACTTTGTAAACGTTGTTATTGTTGTCCAATATACAAATATATTTATACTCGAGCTGTCTCATTTAAAAGCCTATTGAACCCCCCTTATATCTTTTTAATATTCGATTTGAAAACAATCTAAAAAAATTAAAAAAATGCATAAATTTTCCTAAAATTAAAAAAATATTCAAACCTACTTAAATATTTGAGTCCCTAATACTGGTGTTCAGAAAAGGCAATTTCCTGTCGTCAATGTTAATAACTCGATATTATGATGTCTTTATGACGGATCTATTGTCGTCCTCGTATCGTAGCCGTATCGTATTGTTGTCGGCACGTGGACGGAAATAGCCGCTTTGAGGGTGAGGGTGCCGTTTCTTTTCTTTCACATTTCGTGCTGTTGCAAGTTAACGATAGATGACGTTACACGTACCATATCTCGGAATTGTATGTTATTAATGTAAAAATCGTTAATTATTAGGTCCTTACATATGAAATTGGCGTTTTGTACGGGAGGAAAAAACGAATGACTGTTTTCAAAACTCAAATGTACCAGTCAAATGAATTTATAAATTTGAATTTGGAATTCTTAACCAAAGAGGAGATATTTCAGATCAAAGTGGTCAGTAGGTACGACAAAACGGTAATTTCATATAATAACAATAATAATAATAAATATTTATTATTATTATTATAAGAAATGTGTAGTTGGAAATGAAATATTTATTTCATTTCCAATTACACATGCCTATATACAAGAACAAATATGATTACAATTAAATAAAGTAACAATAAGTCTTAACAAAAATAACATGCTATGATAAAATTAAAACTATGTGTAGCTTAATAATGAAAAATCTACAAAAGAAAAATAGAAAAGTCAAGTTTATAATATTAGCTACCTGCCTAAACTAGGTTGAGTACCTGTGTTTTAGACATCACTTACACAATGGGTTTAATAATGTAGGACACTAGATATTTAAATAATTAAACTATTTTATATAATAAATAAAATAACTAAATAACAATTATTTTTTACCTACAATTAATACAAACTATTTTAGAATATGCAAGGACCTAATATTATTAAATATTATAGTACTAGTAAACAAAATGTAACCCCACCTCCCAATTGGAGTGACAACCTGGTAAGACGTGCAGGAAGTCGTCGGACGCAGGTGGCTTAGGACTGTGTTTTGTGGCATTCCTTGGGACAGGGCTTTGTTTAGAGGTGGACGCTTGAAAAGGCTGTAATGATGATGATAAAGTTAAGAATACAAAGCTTATGTATATTTTTATGTAGGTACTTCCTGTATGTAAACAGGCAAAGCCAAAGGCCTTTCGGCTTTCCACACAGAGTTGGCTATGCTTGGTGTTATATATCACTTTTGAAGATATGCTTTAACGTGCTCCCCCCACCTTTAACTTTTATATAATGCAGCTAAACATCTGAAAAAATCTAGGAAAAAACGAGTTCCCACTTAATACTCAGGTATTTAAACATAAGAAATTTTTGAAGTTCATCTGCACAGTGAAATATGCAAAGCGGGCAAGAAGCGGGCAAACCAATAAAAGCTGGTGCGTTCGTTTTTAGTAAGTATTCGCTTTGTAAACGTCGTTGATGTTGCGTGCCACTTGTGCCGCGATGCTGCCACGACGGTACTCGTATTCCATAATTACGCGAATTTTTACGTATGCACTATGCATGATGACGAAAAAGATTGAAATGCGATGAAAACATAACGCTTATCAACAAACAAATGACTAATTTTGAAAAAAATATGTCATGTTTTTATAATAAAATTTATTTAAAATTAGAATTCTTAGCCAAACAAAAAATATTTTGATTTGAAATGGCCAGTACTGCAGAACGGCAATTTCATAGGTAAAGACCTATTATTATGGCTGTGTTCCTTATGGGTTAGGTTCGTGTAGGTAAGTGGCGAGAATCGAAAACCCTTTTTACCCGATAAACAGGCATTCTATTATAGTTCTCATGGTAACAACACATCTGCCTTTTGAATATTAATCGAATATGGCTAGTGTGCTTTTTGGCACCCTTAATTCTGTAACAAAATCCATTACCCACTTGGACTATTTATTCTACTTGACAGCTATGTAGGTAGCTGTGTCAACGGATCAATAGAAAGACCACGGTTTAGCAGGCTATTAGAATTAAACACCAAATCCTGGGTTTCAAGTAGTGACGACACCGGATATCAAAGTATTGTCAATGAGGCATTTTATCTTTTTTGGCCCAAGGTCTGTCTAAATATTTTGTTAAATATGCGATGGATATATATAAGATAGTTCATATTATTTCAGTTTTTTGTTTCAAGATAGCTGAAAGTGTAGTAGCTTAATACCTAAGTACTACTTGATGGACTACAATCTTATTTATTGCTTTATTGTTAAAAAACATAGATACTAATAAAACATGGCACTGAGTATTGTGAGTGATGAACATCACGTTGTTTTTAAATATATTTTTCACTTTGAATAATTTTTTTTGTACAATATACATCTCCTAAACCTTGAACAATAGAACATATTAGTGAGCAATTGTAATTTAAAATTTACACATTCCTAACGCCTTGTTAAATTTCTTTTAGTGACCATTCAATTTTCTACTAATGACTGTACAGCTAGATGCACACAACCGCAAAAAAACCTATAGCGCAACAGCGTTTAACGACTAGAAAGCGACAATAAAACGCGAATTACTTTGGACCAATTTTTTACCAAAGCACAGCGCGTGGCAGTCACGCGACTGAAAATATTAAAACTGGTGTCGGAGCTGACACGAGGCTTTTCCCACCAATAAATAGAGAAATCTTCTGATAGCCCTATTTTCTAAAACCACATATCATTATTAAGCGAAAAACAACTTTACGTACCTTTTTTAAGTTCGAATTTCTTTCGCCACTCATTCAAAGGTCAGTCAGGAAATACTCATTCGCAAGTATATCGAACGGTATACACATTTAAGTTCAAATTGCATTGGATGGGGTTACATTAAAATTAGGGTTGTCCTCAATGGTCCAATACCGCCCTCGACGGTTATCGAATAATGCGTCGGCACGTGTACGCTGGCGTTTTTTTATCGAATTTTTATTTCGGCGTGCGAACTTAGAAGTGGCGTCTGGTGCAGGCTCGACCTTACAATGGAGATGCATTGTGAAAGACTTAAAAGATTTACGATAGAATATTTTTCGATATCATTATGGATTTTTGTTAAAGGATTAGTTAATGTTCTCATTAAAGTCGTGGCAAGGCTCTAATCTCACGTGGTAGAGCCGTGCTACGACTATAAAACGGTTGTGGCATGAATTAATCGACTTGACCGGGGAAAGAATACGCTCTCACAGAATGCTAGCGTGAAATATCTAAGCAATTGTAGCTGTGTTTTGTATGGTGGGTGTCGAGAACCGGAGACCCTTTTTTCTGGAAACGAGGCATTCCATCTTAGTCCTTATTAATCGAGGATATGTAGATGTCTATGGGCCACAGCTTCCACTTACCATTAGGTGGACTGTGTCGTCATTTGTAATCCTTATTATATAAGAAATACTAATTATTTTGCCCGTAATATTATAGCTACATCAAAAATAATAAGATAAAAACCAAAACATTATAAGTTTTAATCTTTTCTAAATGTTAACTACACATATAATCAGTAACGATATGGCCATACAATAAACAATAATTATAATGAAGTCATAATTTCAATAAAATATCATTAAAACAAACAAACACGAGGCAACGACTAATCCCTCTCAAGGGTGGAATGCACCCCTAAAATATCATTTCATATTTTGATTATGATATCAATGTCGCCCACTCGCATTACCCGGGTTTTTTATACCCATTGTTCGTTAATACACATATTAACCCATTAAAAGTCGCGTGGCAACATAATGTAATATTTCACACGTATAATGAAATTGTTTTATTTGTTATAAATGTTCTTTTGTCATGAGAAACGTCACTTTTATGTCTGCAATTGAATACATAAAAAGTACCTATTTGCTTAGCTGTTTTAGTAATTGCGTTGATTTATATTGTTAATATAAAAAAATAAAATCTTTCTTAACTGGTTTTTAGACGAAATAGATGTCCAATAAGAGTATGAACCTTTCATTTAGTGGAGGTGTAGTGTAGTGGTGGTGTTGACTTCTGCATATATCTAACACATTATGTTATATCTCAAAATTAACAGTTTTCACTAGAACAGGTATCAATCGTTACCAGAAAATGAGTAAAATATTGTGGTTTCCTTCTTAGTTATTTTATAGTTAAGTTTTCGTTTTTTATCATATCAAGATCTTGCATGTATTATGATTTATATTTTACTTACTGTATTTTCTAATGATCTACTGTATTAAAAAAAATACAAAAGCTATATACATTAATGAACTAAATGCTACGTAATATGTGTACAGGTTTATTTATACTTTTACTTTTATTTTTACTCCCCTGTAGTAATAAAATGAAACGATAGTTAAAGCTACTTGTCACTAGATGGCAGCAGCTGTCATAAATCGAGCTCTAATTTTACTTTATTTGATATGATTTTCGTGACATCAGCAAGTGGAGACTTTTTCATTTCCCTTTTTGGAAATAGAAATATTTTTATTTACATAACTATTTCATAAATAAAATTGTATCTGCCGGTCTTTTAACCTATCTATCACACCTTATCTTCCAATATTGATAGAGGCTAGTTCCTCTTTACTATTCACCCATATCAATCTATTTTGTGTGGCACTTTTGCAAGCTTCTTATCTCAAAAGCCTAAAGGTAAGTATATTTTTTTCTATATAAACTTTAAAACTCCTTAGCGAGATGAGTGGGAAATCGGCAAATACCTTTAAAATTAGGCGTTATGTATTAAGGTAGTTTAGTTGAAGGTTATATTTTACTTACGGAAGATTAAATTT